TCAGGAAGCTCTGGAAGAGAGGGGTGCAGCTCTGGGGGTTGCAGGAGATCCCTAGGTTCAGGGGATTGCGGTGCCAGCCAGTGTCTGTTAGGGCTCGGTGCCCTGCGCCCAAAGGGGTCTCCCCTAGCCTCAGATAGGTGGGCAGGTGAAAGGGGGGGCGATAGAGAGTTGATCCCTGTGCCTGAGCCCCCTGGGGAACCAGGGGATGCCATCCGGGCCTCTACCCAGAACAGGAGGGCCTGCGGGGGGAGCGAGATCTGGAAGGAGAGGGGCTAATGGTGGCCATGAACCTCCTAGTGGAGGCCCTGGTAACTCGAACCTCCTTCCCAGAGGTTCCCTTCCTATGGGCCCTGGGGTTGCCCTTCTTGCCGTGGGACCTCCCTCTGGAGACTGAGGGAACCTCCCTGGTGGTCCCCTTGCCCGGATCTGAATCCCCTGGGGATCGGGCCTGGCACCCCTGCTCCTCACCACCTCCGCCATTACAGTTATGCTGCTCAGCAACCTCCTCTTTGCTAGCCGGTCTTGTTCTTGTGCGCGCTGGCTCCGAGCTCGCGCTTCTTCTCTGCCACCGATCCGCAGCTTGAATTGCCGGCAGGCACTGATCCACAGCCCTCCCTGGATTGCCGGCAAAGTTGGGGCCTTCTGAAGCCTCTTCCGGCTTTGGCGGTGCTTTTAGAGTGCTCTCAGCGTCCATAGGAGAACGCCAGTCACATGCTCACCCACGTGCTCAAAATGGCGACGGGCAAGATGGCGGCCGCCGATCTGCGACCCGATTGCCTCCTGCAGCTGGGGAGCGTTGGGGCAATCCCTGCCGGATCCCTGGTCTTCCGATAGTCTTCGCCGGTCTCCTGGAAGCCGGGCAGCCGATCCACGCATTCCGCGCAATGTGGAGGCTTCCTCCCCTTTTCGCGACCGTCCGACCGCCTGGGGCGTGTGTGCTAGCAAGCGGCAAGGCTTTAACGCTAGCAGTGCTCAGCACAGCAGTGGAAGGATGCAGCAATTCAATTTAAAAGGTAAAAAATGGTAGAATCCTATAAAAAACTCCTAAGTCTTCGAAGTGAGGGAGAGTCAGGTAAAACACTTTTGGGCCAGAGACTGATGTTAATCTGGGAGGTCAGTGGAGGAATGGAGGTGTGGCCTCAAGATTTACCTCAGTCTCCAGGGCAAAAGGGCTGTGTTAATACCCATGTGTGAC